ATCATTTTTTGTCGTTTCCAGTGCTAGTCCTGTGGCTGTAGTGGGATTAGACTGATCTACCTCCCCAGCAGCAGGTAAGGGTGGTCTGCCCCTACCGCACAGCATCCAAACGAGGGAGCAATGGGACGCGGCCCCTTCTGTGAGTCTCCCTCCTCCTGGTAGGAAAGGCCATTTCAGAGACCCCAGCTTGAGTTCCCATGGGTCCCATGGCCACAACTGGTTCCCACGACAACCCCTGTACCTTCCTCCAGCCATGAGCAATGGGGCAACCATACCTGGTCAGGTCTGAACCTGCCACTCTCCATAGGTGCAGGAGAGGAAATGAAACTCCTGGGTCCAAGATGAAGGACTTGGCTACACGTAGCACTGCAGGCAGTGTGAGGTCTGGCCTGCCCATGCCCACAAGGCCCCTGAGAGACAGTGAGGGCTCAGCAGATGTGCACACGCCACTAAAAGGAGCCCACCCTCGGCTGGCGTTAACAAATGTGGCATCCAAAACACTGGGCAACATTTGAGTCCCAGGAGATTCTGCCCAGTGCCTGACACACAAGAAGCATTTACTGATCCTCGTCACCACCATCACAACTACCAAAGTCAGGGACCCTACACTGCACTACAAAACAGCTACGATTAGGATTGTTTTATGGTTTTGCCAAAAGGAGGAGACAGCATGTTTGTATAGCTCTGCCTTAAAAAAAAAAAAGAAAAAGAAAAAAAGTCGGGCACCAGTAGCTCAAGTCTGTAATCCTAGCTATTCAAGAGGCAGAGATCAGGAGGATCTCCAGTGGAGGCCAGCCTGAGCAAAGTTAGCACCCTGCTAGCTTAAAAAAGAAAAAAACTAACTAAAAGCAAAAGGACTGGAGGAATGGCTCAAATAGTAGCGTACTTGCTTAGCAAACCTGAGGCCCCTGGGTTCAATCCCCAGTACCAGAAGAAAAAAAAAAATGTGTAATCTAGGCATGCATCACTTGTGGTCCCAGCTCCCAGTTCAAGGCAGGAAGATCACTTGAGCCTAGTTCAAGCCCATCCTGGGCAAAGTAGTGAGACTGAATCTCAAAAACAAAAGGCTGGGCATGGTGGCTCACACCTCTAATCCTAGCTGAGCTCGGGAGGATCACGGATTGAGGCCAGTCTAGGCAAACAGTTCATGAGACCCACCCCCTATCTCCAAAATAACCAGCTAATCACATCTCTTCCCAGGTGATTCCAACAGCAGAGCCTGGGCAGCTAATACATCCCTGGGAAGTTCCTAGTGGTCACTGGACCCTGAACAGCCCTGGCCAAAACCCCATATCTTTCCAGAGTGGGGTACCCATCAGTAAAGATGACAGAGCTGGGACCTCCTTGACCTGTCCGGGCTGCTGTGGCGACCCCTTCTGGCTACAGTGGGCTCTGCACTTCTGGGAGAGAGCTCATGTCCTTCCATGTAGGGAGATGGACTTTTGGCTGTGCCTGAATTGTCCATGGGCACAGCAAGGCCAGGCTCCAGGACTGAAGACATGTCTGAGTTCTGGTTAGCACCTTGGATCTGGGTGAGAAAAGGTCTTTGAAAATTGGAAAGTGGGAGGTGTCTCTTAGGACAGCTCAAGTTGGGGAAATGGCAGCTCCCACACTGGGGCATTGGCAAGGATGCCATTAGTGCATACAAATGGGGGTTTCTTCTTTGGCCCTTGATTGTCTCCTGCCCACAGAGATTGGGGAAGTGGCCTTTCCTGGGGGAACAGGACAGAAAGGGTGGACAGACATCGGAAGTGGGCCAGGTTTTTGGAAGGGCATTGCACCTGGGGACAGCCTTCCCCCAAGATATGGCTTGTCTGCCCCAATTCTCTCCCTTTGCCCCCTCCCCAAATGGTGCCAGAGCTGGCTGGGCTGGCTGTCTGGGCTGTCTGCACTCTGCACTCCTCCCACACCCTCAGTGGCACTTCTATCTTCCCCATGTCCGCCCTGTAAGGACACCATCCTCAAGTGGCCAACAGCTTTCTGACTGACCCCGTGGACACTGCCTGTCCACACTGTACTCAGCATTCCCCTCCTACTCCCCCTCCCCCCTCTTTGGGCCTCCTTTCCTAGCTCTGATGTACCTCTGGGGGACTGGAGGGGGGACAACCTTTGACCTGTTATTTCTCATCAAACCCCAGAACCCTCTTCTGAGACAGGATGAAATCTAAATACAACTTGCATTTGGACTCCTCACAGCTAACTCAGCCTGTGAAACTTTTTTTTCCTTTGTGGAACTGGGGCTTGAACTCAGGGCCTTGTGCTCCCTAGGCAGGTGCTTGAGCCACATCCCAGCCCTTTGGCTTGGTTATTTTTCAAACAGTGGCTTGGTTTTGCCCTGGCAGCCTGAACCACGATCCTCCCATTTGTCTCCTGAGTAGCTGGACTGGCAGGCATGAAACCACCATGCTTTCATTGGCTGGGGGTGGGGGGCTCTTACTAACTTTCTGCCTAGGCTGGTCTTGAACCTCACTCCTTCCAATTTCTGCCTCTTGAGTAGCTCCCCTACCCCTGCGAGCCTCCCCACCCAGCTCCATGAAGAACTTTTGATTCCTCCAAAACCCCTCATGTAATTCTCCTTTGCTCCCCACCTGGGGTTCAGGCCTAGGGCATCTGTAACAACAACCATAACACACAGATGGTGGGTCCCCGGTCCTCACCACCCACCTCCCTTCTCCTCTAAAATCTCAACTGACTCCCTCACCTGACACCTCTCACCTGAGGCAAGAGGTGTCCACCAGGGTCCCCATGACCACGGCTACCTCTCCCCTTTGCTCCCCACAAAGTGGCCTCCCCCAGCCTTGATCCCCACCTACACCCTGGTTGCTGCTGTCTGGGGGCCCTAGTGTCTTTCCATGCCAGAGGGCCGGCCACTGCCCAGTGGCTTTCAGATCCCACCCTGCCTCTCCAGGTGCCCAACACATTAAGCTCTCCTGAGGGTCTCAGTGTCCAGTTTAGCTGATACACAAATTAATGAGGACAAGGGGACCCCCGGCTGGTTTCTCTCTGCTGCACCTGGTTATTGCAAGCCACTCAGGAAGCCAGGGAAGGGCAGGCTGAGATGTCACCAGGGTCTTAGCCTGTCCCTGGGAGACCCCACAGTACAGAAACCTCAGAACAAACCTGACGACTACTTAGTTCCCAGCCTTGCCATAGACACAGCCCTGCTCCATGGCCACCACTGTTCAGATGCTCTCAGAGAGTTGGGGTAGGGAGCAGGTGAGCATTAAGCCCTGTCAGGGGCCAGGGTGTGGTGGCACATGTCTGTTAAGTCTAGTTAGTCTAGTTACTAGGGAGACAGAGACAGGAGGATCCAGAGTTCAAGGCCAGCCCAAGCAAAAATCAATGAGACCCTGTCAGAAACAAAATACAAACAAAAGGTTTAGGGGCATGACTCAAGAGAATTTGCCTAGCACAAAGCCCTGGACTCAATCCCCAGTACACGGGTAGCAGTGATGCAGGGGAGAACAGGTCAGGACATGGTAAAACCAGGGTCCCTGGTCCCTCTGGCAAAAGGGACAGCAGAGACATGGGTCCTCATTCCAGCCATCCCTGTCTACTCTAGGACTAGTCCCGAGCTGCCTAGAACCAGGAGGGGCTAAGGACTGGTCTACATCCAAGAGACCAGGCAGTCAAGATGCGTGGCTCTGGCTTCAGCAGGACAGACTCTAGACAATCACAACTCACCCCTCAAGCCTCACCTGCTACTCCCACCCTCACCCCAGACAGGACAGGACCAAGAAAAGCCCAGGCCTGCCCACTGGCAGCACACAGCCTCTTTCCATATCCCACCTGTGGCCTCTTCAGGGCCACTGTCACGCCCCACAGGCCCTCCATCTCCCCATGCGCTGGTTGCAGTGTCTTGCAGAGAGTGGGCAGCCCAGAGCTGCATGCACACCCGGGAGTAATCAGAGGCACCACCAATGCCGAGGAATGGAGGGCAGGGTACAGCCTTGGAAGTGATCCCTGTGCATCTGTGGACAGTGGTTCCCCCAAGGCCAGCTGCCTGGAAGACAGGTGACTCCCAAAAGCCTGACTCCAGCACCAGCTAACTGGGGTGGGAGAGGGAATAATTGGTTTGCCCAGAGATGGGCCTGGTGGGGAGCCAGGCCAGCCCCTAAACTGCTGCAGTTAGGGGTGTGCTCAGCGATGACCCCACTGTGCCCAACCAGCTCCTTGCCTTTCTGGGACTGGTTACAGATGGAAAGCAAACCTTCTGCCTCTGGGCAGTATGGATGGTGAGGCCTGCCTCAGGGCAGGTGAAGGCCAATGCAGTGACCACCTGCCTGGCAGGGCATGGAGCTCCACAATGCTGCCTGTGCCAGGTGAGAGATGGATGCAACCATCACCTCAAACAGCCACCCCACCAGCCTCATAAAGGCCCCTCCCTCCCCAAACGCCCCCAAGACCCTCCTGGGCCTGAGGATTCCAGAGTCACACAGGCAAAGAGCGTGGAGGTCAGAGCAGAAAAGAGCTGCAGATGGAATTCAGGGCTTGTACTGCCCGTCCAGGGCACTGCGGGATGGGCAAGTATCTGGGGCGGGGCCAGGCTGCAGCTTCTGGCTGAGGCTGCAACTTCACCTTGGGAACAGAGCTGGCACTGGATCCCATCTGGCACTAGCAGTCCTGGGCAGAGGAGCCCAAGGTCAGGCTTGTGTGGAAGGGGGGGCCAAGAGTGAGGGGCACTTCTGGGCCTGAGGTGGGAAGGACAGGGTCATGGGGCCTGGACACCTGGGGAGAGGGTGAGGAATGGAAGTTATGCTATCCCAGAAAGAACAAAATTCAGATTGATACCTGTGACTGTGGTAGCAGTGAGACAGGAGGGGAAGTGGTAACTGGCACAGGGCTGCAATGATTCCCCACTCTGGAACCTCTGAGAGCCTCCTGGGAGAGGCCCAGGAAGTGCCAGGCTGGCCCCATGGCCACCAGCACTGAAGCACTACCCTCTGGCTCCCTTCACTCACCCCTCCTTATCACCCCTGTGAAACAGATTCAGCAGTGAAGCTTTGCATACAAAACTGTAAACACTAGTCTTTAAAATGACAGAGGCCTCCTTGGCCCCAAGAGGCCCCCACCAAGGGCCCAGATATCCGCTCACACTGCTCTCCCTTCCCACCCCGGCGGCCCAGCAGGCAGGGGCCAAGCCACCTCCATTTGGGCCCCCGACCTCCCAGACTGCCTCACCCGCTGGGGCGGGCTGGTGGAGTGGGGACTGAGGGTCCGTGGTCCGAGGGATTCCTGAGATGAAGAAGCAGCCGAGGCAGCCCCGGGCACAGCACAGGCGTTCTCCGTACTTGCCCCCAAAGGGAGCCCGCCCGACCCCATCCCATGCAAGCCTCGCCCTGCTGGTCCAGAGTCTCTCCACACCAGGGGACCTGCGAGACCCTGTCACGTGTCCAGCGCATCGCGCGTGGGTGAGGGCCCATGGGGACGCCCAGGAGCGCCGTGCAGCGGTGGAGCAGGCGGCACCGAGTTGCGCTGTGGAGGCGGTGGCTGCAACTCCAGTGCAAGAGCAGGTGGCGGGAAGTCACGCACTTGGCGGCGGTACTCAAGGAACGTGCAGGCTTTGGTGGCCAGCGCCACCACGTTCTTGCCAACGAAGATAGCCGAGACGCGGCTGTCGCGGAAGAGCGCCATGTTGGCGGCTCGCGCCAGCACGGCCACCACGTTGACTGTGGCAAGGCTGAGCACCGGGTACAGCATCATCTTCTGCGGCGCGATGTGCTCGCCCTGCATGCTGACCTCGCTGAGCGCTACACAGGGCAGCACCAGCAGCAGCATGTAGCAGTAGAAGAAGGTGAGGCCCTCGGCCCACAGTGGCAGCCCGGTGCGTGGCGGCTCCCACAGGTTGGCCTGCATGTCCAGCAGGTCCAGCAGGTCGAGCGCCACCCAGAAGAGTCGGCCGCGCAGGTCCTCGCGCTTGCGGAAGGTGCGCACGTACTCCATGCGGTCAAGAGCAACGAGCAGCAGGAAGAGGCCAGGCACGCACACCGACAGCAGCAGCGTCAGCGCCTTGCGCGCCACCGGGTCGGCTGCACCGCGCCGCGCCGCCTTGTAGTTCTGAAAGATGAAGTACAGCTTGATCTCCAGCACGAAGATGTAGAGGAACCAAAGGATCATGGCATAGCCGCGCTTGGCCGTGCGCACCTCGGCGCCCACCCACACGGCCACGTAGCGCAGCACCAGCAGGAAACACACGTCGCCCACCAGTACGATGATGCACACGCCGATCTTGCGGGGACCCTGGTTCTGTTCCACCAGGTACGCGTCCATGACAGCCATGCTGCCCATGATTACCAGCGTGGTCAGGCACACGTGGCGCCGGTCCGGGGGAGGCAGCACCATGGTCGGCCGCCGGGGCCCTGGCCCGGGCGCGCACTGACCCCACACGAGGCGGGACAAGATCCTGCGGCGGCGCTCAGCCCGCTGGCATGGCGTGGCGCTGCCTGACGCTGGGCTCGTCCAGCTGCCCTAAAGGCTCCGCCGCTCCGGGCCGGCGAGCTCGGAACCTGGGGAAAATCACAGACAGGTCAGGGTGTGGTCCCGGGTAGCATCGGGTCCCCGGCGACCGCCCCCAACCCCTACTGTGTTTCCCTGCGCGAGCGCTGTCACCGCGCGGGACGCCCGAGGTCTGGGTCGCACGCACGCGCCGCTGGGCGCACTGGAGACCAGGAGCCTGGGAGCGAGGCCTCCAGGGGGCGCTGCGGCCCCACCTGAGGGACCGAAGACCTCATTCCCGCCACCGCCAGGAAGGAAATGTAACGGAAGTGGTTTCTCCCCGCCGCGCGCGCTCCCAGAGCCCTGATGATTTGTCGTTGCTGGGCCCGCGCCGCCGTCCCTCCTGGCTTGGCGGCCTGGACTTCACGCCCGGGCCGGCAGCCCTAGGCCACGTCTGTTGGGATTCCAAGAGTCCTCTCCCGGGTTCAGGATGGTGGGCAGCGAGGTGGGCCTGCGCCTTGTCCCCTAGTGCTCAAGGAGTGCTCAAGGCCCAGGCCCCCATCCCGGGAACAGGGGCCTCTGGGCAGGTTTTTCGACGCAGGATCGAGAATCACCCAAGTCCCGAGACATCCATCCTGTAAGCCCCTCTGTGCCTCCGTACCCCTGCCTTGCAGACCAACCATCTCTCCCCTCTCCCCTCCTCTCCACCCTCCACGGGAGTGCGGAGCATTCTCTGCCATAATCCTACCATGACTCTCCACTGCCCCAGAGAGGTGTGTTCTTGTCCCCACCGCATCTCCTGCCATACTGTCCCTCCTCGCTGTGCCCCAAGACACCCACACTGCCCCACACTGCTCTGCCAGAGCTCCTCTTCACTTTCAAGGCCAAACTCAGGACGCCAACCGGCTCTTCTCATGCACCTGGCACTGGGTGTCATGGGTGTGCTGGTGGGAGACCCCCACCAGACTGTGAGTCCCCGCACCTGGACCTGCTTACACCTCCTGCAGCCCTCACCTGCAGGAAAGTCACTCCCAGCCAGACCCCTCCTGTCCCCTCCACAGCACTTGGCCTGGGGGCTCCATTTACTGCCCTGTCTAGACAAAGACATAAAATTTATTGTCACCCGTGACAGTGCAGCGCTCAGCCTGCTTCTGGTGACACCACAACCCCTCTGACCGAGGAAAGGCCTCAAACTCCACACCAGCACCCCTGCCTCATCCCAGCTGCTCCTCGCATCCAGCACCCACCTCCCGGGTGTCCGCACTGCCACACACAGGACCCCCAGCACCACCTGGAGTTCTGACGCCTTCAGTAGAGGGTGCTTAGGAGGTTATGGGCCCACTGCCCAGCCTCTGGTGTTCCATTCGCTACTTCTCCCCAGCTACACGCTCGCCCCGTTTTCACGCCCACTGGTAGGCACTCCGCCGGGGAAACCCACTCTGGGCCCATTCCTGCCCACCTGGGCCTCCTCTGGCAGCGGCTGCAGACTGGGAATTCCTTTCTCTCTGCACTTGTTCAGGCCAAATAGCCGCTGCACCGCTAACCCTTTCGACGCCATCCTCTACCACCCCTCCCCTTGTTCGCTCAGTCACTCATCAAAAGAGGCTGAGGGCTCTGCGCTAGTGGTGGGACAGACCCCCAACCTGTAGGGGAGCCCCAGGCCCAGGAAGCCAGAGCCGAGGTCTGGAGCCCCTTCCCCCACTCCCTGCCCTGGCCCTGCTCCCAGGGACCTGGCCCAGGCCCACCTGCCTGGGTCTCCCGCGCCGGGCAGAGTGCCCACCCCCCCCCACCGCCCTGCGGGGCTGCTCAAACCTCACATGCCCGCCCCTCCTACCGCGCTTCGCACGGACCCCCACCCCCTCTGTGTCCACAAGAAGGGGGCTGGGCAGAGTAAGAGCCGCCGCCCCTCCCCCACCGCGATTAGGAGGGTCGAGCCGCTCCCAGCAGGTTGCACCTCGGCTTGTCTCTTCCACACCAAAGGCTTCGCCAGCTGGGCCTGGTGAGGGTCACGCCGCCCGCCCCAAGGCCTCACCCCTGCAGCGCCCCCCGCCCATCCCACGCCCTGCGGCCTGGAGGCACGACTCGTAAGGCCCGGCTGGCAGCCCCGGCCGCCCACCACCGTGCTCCGCGGACCCAGCCCCGGCCCCGCCGCCCGCCGCCCGTCGCCCGCCTCTCGCGCCTACCTCGCCGCGGGCCAGATGCTACGCGCCGGCCGGCCCCGCCGAGCCTCTGCGCCGAGCCCGGCGCTCTCCGCTGCGCTCCGCCCCCCACCCCGCCGCCGGCACCGCCCCCGGCCGAGGCCCCGCCCCGCGACTCCGGGCGCCCAGACCCCCGCCAGGAGAGAGCCGGGGTGCTGGTGCCCCTGTGCAAAGGCGATTGCAATGGCGTCAGCTCTGCGCTGCCCCGACGCGTTGGGCCGGTGGCCCTGGGAGCCGGACACCCCAGGGTCCATCCACAGGCCCGGAGGTCTGTCCACCTCGCCTCACCCAACAGCGGAGAGTCGCTCAGTCCTCACGCCCTGAGATTCTGCTCCAGCCCTCAGGGCTCAGACCCTGGCCACAACTAATAACCCCGTTCGCCAGAGAAAGAAAGTACAACGCTGGCCCGGACCTAAGGGCAGGGCCGACCACCAGTCTCGCTGCAGTTGGCCCCACCGAATCTCAGCTGTGGCCCGTAGGACACACACGGTGAGGTCCTGGTTCTTGGCTCCAGCTCGAGGCTGGGGTCCTCTGTGCCCTGTGGGAGAACTCCAGCCCTGGGTCTCTCTTGCCGCAGAGGAAGGGACGATGACCATCAAAGGGACAAGCTATGGCTCAGGGACTCAAGTTTCCTCTCCCCACCCTGTTCTGTCTCTGAACCCCCACCCACCTCCCATCTGCCACTCTCCGAGGGCAAGGAATGGATGTTCTGGGTATGACAGGAGAATGGAAAGGACACCTACTGACTGCTTGCCCTCCTCCTCAGAGCTGCTCACTTCCCTTTGACAGAGAGGACTGAGGGTCAGGGAGGTGAAGGGACACTCAGGCCTTCTGCTGGAAAGGGGCAGAGCCTGGCTCCCTCCCAGGTCTGTGTCCAGAGGTCTTGCACAGGAGGCTAAGTGTTTGCTGGTGGCCAAATGCCAGCAGGTGGTAGATTCTGTTCAGGTGACCAATTGTGGCCCACCCTCAGCCCTGGGGACCAGGCAAGCATCTCACTGGTGGGAAGCAAGGACAGCAGGCCACAATTCAAAATGGATCAAAGATCTTAATGAAAGACCCGAACTGTGAAACTACTACAGGAAAGAATAGGGAAAACGCAGGACCATATGGGCATAGTCAATAACTTCCTGGATAGAACTCCAATCACTCTGCAAATAAGAGAAAGGATTGATGAATGGGACTGCATCAAACTAAAAAGCTTCTGCACAACAAAGGAAGCAGTCATGAGACTGAAGAGACAGCCTACAGAATCTCTGCCAGCTATACATCTGACAAGGAATTTATAACCAGAACATACAGGCAGCTCAAAAAACTAAACTCCCAGGGCCACTGGAGTGGTTCCAGTGGTAGAGTGCCTGCCTAGGAAGCGTGAGGCCCTCAGTTCAAGCCCCAGTACCGAAAAAAAAAAAAACAAAAAAAAACTACCAAAAGGTAAATGAACTGAACAGATTTCACAAAAAGAAGTATACATAGCCAATAAATACATGAAGAAATGCTTAGCATCCCTGGCCATAAAGGAAATGCAAATCAAAATGTCATTGAGATTTCACCTCACTCCAGTCAGAATGGCTATCATCAAGAACAGAAACAACAAATGTTGGTGAGGTTGCAGGGGAAAAAGGAAATTTTATTCACTATTGTGAGAAAGTAAATTAGTGCAACCACTACGGGAAGCAGTATGGAGGATCCTCAAACAACTAAAAGTAGAACTGCCATTCTATCCAGTGATACCACTTCTGGGCATAGGCCTGAAGGAATGTAAATCAGGATACAATAGAAATAGGGTCTCATAAACTATTTGCCCAGGCTGGCTTCAAACCAACATCCTCCTGATCTCTGCATCCTGAGTAGGTAGGATTACAGGTGTGAGCCACCGGTGCCCAGCTTACACCTATGTTTATTGCAGCACTATTCATGATAACCACTATATGGAAACAGTCCAGATACCCTATGACTGACGAATGGTTAAAAAAATGTGGTATAAGCTGGGCACCAGTGACTCAAACCTGTAATCCTACTCAGGAGGCAGAGATCAGGAGTGTCACAGACAATCCAGGGCAAATAGTTCGTGAGACACTATCTTGAAAAAAAAAAAATCACAAAAAAGTGCTGGTGGAGTGGCTCAAGGTGAAGGCCCTGAGTTCAAACCTCAATACTGCAAAAAAAAAAAAAGCAGTAAATATATTCAAAAATAAAAAAAATTATCAGCCAGGCTGGAAGCATGGCTCAAGTGGTAAAGCACTCCCTTAGCAAGTGCAAGGCTCTGAGTTCAAACCCCAGTACCACCAAAAAGTAAAATAATAATAGTAATAATACTAATAACCTAAAGGAAAACTGAAAAGAGAGGGGAAAATAGAGCAGCTGGTGAAATCACAAGAGACAGCAGATTTAAATACCAATGTGTCAGTAATTACACTAAATGTAAAAGACAAAATATTCTCACTGGGAGACCAAGATGATCTTTCTGATCCCAAAACAATCAACCAGTTGCCAGTGTGTGTGGGGTGGGGGAGAGAGAGGACTGCTGCTGTCATAAGACTCAGGTGTAGTCAGCAGAGAGGACTTTGAGTGTCCCCACACACAAGTGATCTTATCAGAGGTGATGGATAGTCAGTTACCCTGGTCCAATCAATGCACATTGTTTTCATGTGTGGAGATGCCACACAGAACCCCAAAAATACATACAGTTATGTGCTGGTTTAACTTTTTTCAAAATTATTTTTTAAAGGAGAGCGATGTGGGAAGTGTTCAGAAGTATACTTCAGGTGGTCCAGAACAAGGTGTATATTTAGGCCCCCACACACACAGATAAGGATGGATGCCTTGAGTATGGCAAAACAAGAAGAGTTGCTGAGT